GCTTTTGCCGGTCTCGAGATGAAAAATCGGTACAGACGCGCAGCGCACACACAGACACACACACACTGAAAGAGATGAAAAATCGGTACAGACGCGCTGCGCACACACAGACACACACACAAACACACACACATACAGCACGCACACACACACACACAGACAACCTCTCGTCAATATGCGTTTTCTGCATTGCATAGCTGCAAAAAACGCGGCTGTTACACAGCACAAAACGCATAAAAATCGGTACAGACGCGCAGCGCACACACACACGCACAACACACACACAGACAACCTCTCGTCAATATGCGTTTTTCGCATTGCATTGCTGCAAAAAACGCATAATAAACTGGACACTTTACACGACATTCCATCGATTTCCTAGAGATGGTTCGTGAGTTCATCTCTCGAAAGTGTCCAACTGTATATGGACAAGAACCTATTTACAATTTAGTTGCATAAACAGAGGTCCAGAGGGCTAGGAAGCAGTATCTTTCAGTCACCTGAAGTTCCTATCAACTTCTTGCTCTCCGATTGCCGACCAACTATCGTAGATCAGTCCCAGGATACAAGCAGCCCGCTATTTGCTTCATTCTACGTCACACAGCGTACATATATTGCACTATGTGTATAGCCACTCGCTTGTCAGACGCGAGTAGTCAATATCTCCAAACTTAGTCGAATAAATGAGAGATAATGTCCTCCCGGCATGCTAGGAACTGCCAGGACTTGTAATTCGCCATGCTTAATCTGCTGTTAAAAATGTCCAAGCCCTTCTCTCCCTCACTCTCTCTCCCGGGCTCTTCTCCCTCCCTCTCCTTCCCCCTTTCTTTCTTCCTCTCTCTCTCCCTCTATGTAAATATATATATACATATGTATATATATATACATATATATATACATACATATACATACATATACACATATATACGCATATATATGCATGTACATATATATGTACATATACACATTATTTATATACATATATATATATGTGTATGTATATGTCAAACCATGATTTTGTCACAGTCTATAATACTAACATACTAATGCCAAAGTTATAAAAGTTTTGAGATGTCACACAGTCGATTCACAGCGACAACATGTGCCGATGGCGGTCAAGGTACTACCTTCAACAGTTGGCAAAGACCCAGCGCTCTCTGTTAAATGATATTCATTTCACTGAATTCGAGGGCATGAACCGATGGAAATGGTGCTCGAAGTCTTTGTGTGATCATGTCCGTCAAAGATGTGCAATAAAACACGCTACGCAAAAGAAAAACAGCCAAAATGTGAAAGTGGAAGCCCATTCACATCTCCACTTCATTTCTAATTCTCAGCACGACCCTGCTTTCATGCTCGGGTTTCTCCGGCGCGATCTTAATTGTAAAACCATTCGAATCCGCAGCCTTCTATTCCCTAAGGATAGCAACCCAAAACTGAAACTGAGGTGAAGATATGGTATATGAGTCACCAATAATCTATTTATTCCTAACATAAGTGCCGCACGATGACACATGCAAGACCTCACTAAAGTGGAGTAATTTAGAGAGAGTCTCGTAAAAATTGAATATCCTTACAAACACAAATGATCCTGCTGTGCAGTGCAGGTACGTACTGCTAGCAAAATCATC